CGCATAAGTATTCACGGACGACGAGAGGCTAACCAAGTATTTGCATTTAAGAATTGATTTGAAATATCAGAGGATATTACATCGAAAATGCACGTAAGTATCAAGGACGTCGAGAAGCTAACCAAGTATTTGCATTTAAGAATTGATTTGAAATATCAGAGGATATTACTCCCTTAAGCGACTTTACAGCAATCAAAACCTTGAAAATGAAAGGCATGAAGTAAATTGTGTGTGATACTAGACCAGAAAAATAATTGACGTTTAAATACCTCATCCCAGAACATCAATCCATTTTCTAGATCATCCTTAACATTTATATACGCAGTGAAGGTTTCCTCAAGTTTCTTAAGTGCATCTGACTTGATATTTCTGTCATTTTCCTTTGATTCCTTTGACAAAGTAATAGTACTTTCAAGATATGTTTTGACGATAATACCCAATCCACAATTCGCGTCATATAAAAATGGAAGACTGTACAAAATGATCAATTATAAAAAGCAAGCATGTTGAGATCGTAAAATTAATCATTTATTAGTATATATTACGATTAACAAACCTTAATGCGATATCAAGATAATCTTGACGATCCTTTTCACAGTCACCATTCAAAAACATCGATAAAGTTAACATTTCACATAGATTGCGTAATGATCGATTTAATGCTTTAACAAAGCTGTTAAAAACCAACATCTCTCTACATAAAGGTCCAACCCATGATGTAGCCTGATTTTACATATATATGTATACATTGTCAGACATATTACAAAGAACACCATAATCAGAGGTTTAGACCTGGTTTATTTTTCATTTTATTAAATGATTTTAACATATGAAAAATAAAACATGTTCCAACCTCCGGGTAAAATATAAACCAATATACCTACTTTAAATTTTGCTGGAACTAAACTAAGGGTCCTTGAAATTAGGAGAATATGTCTTTTTTCTTCATCTGTAAATTAGATTCATTAATTAGAAAAAAAGATATAAAATCTACATTTCAAATAAACGCGAATTACACATACCATTCACGCAACTAGGTGCTTTATAGTATTCTCTACTGTAATGATTACCATGAAGATAGCCGAATCTAATCAATTCTAATGCACTAAATAATTGCTCGTGATGAGATTCAGTTGACTTAGGGTTAAGAGCCTTTTTGAAAGCGGCACCCCATACGGTATGGGTATGTTGGGCATGTGTTAAAAACCTAAATTAATATTAATAATACATGGAATAAGAACCTAATAATATATGAATAAAAATATACAAATTAATCAAAAGTGACATACTGCCGTAATTCCAAAAGTTTCCACAGTACATTACTTATGATTTCATCTTTAGAATCAATAGTTTTATCATTGTTTTTAGGCATAATGGTCTTTGCAGCTTGCTCTTCAGTTGCTGTTGCTCTCAAGCAAAAAGCAATATCAATAACAGAAGTCTGGAAACAGTTTTACAATTATTGTTATTATGTAAGTGATATATTTACTAAACAGATACAACAATCACAACATACCTTTTGTGCTTTCTTTTCTTCTTCTAACCCCCTTTCCAAAACGTTCCAAGTATTTAAATTCTCATGAACGCTTGGTGCAATATTATGATTTAATGGATGTTCATTACCGGACTCAAACCAATAAACACTCACAACACGTCTAGATTGGTAGAATTGGTGCAAAGGCTGAGTAAGTAAGCCCATTGCTTGTGTTCGAAGATCAAGTATTTGTTTCAGAAATTGTCTATATTCTTGTGTTTCGCCATTGCATAGGGGCGGATTTTCAATAAGAACACCTGATATCAAAGTATTAATAACCTATAAAGATGCGATTCAAATTAAACACTGCAATAGAGGTTTTAAAAAATCATTTATCACAGTAGCAGTAAAAATTGATCTGTAATACCTGTGGAGACATCAACCCTCTGGATAAATAAAAATATACCTCGTCTGGTAAACGATAGCCAATTACATCATGAATATCGCTTGGTGATGTCTCCGCGTTTAATGGTTCTACTCTTCCTTCATCCGTCAATACCATGTGGAACTTGATAGCACACCTGGTACGACAGAACGTTTCTATGTAGTTCGTCTTTTGGACGCCCGCATGATCCGCATAACCTTGAACGGCGTTGAAACCGTTTCGATACTGTTTAATTAGATCATGAACACCTTTAAAGCTGAATCCACTGAATTCAGAGTTTAGTGGCGGAAAAGTGCCACAATATTCGAAACCGGCGAGAATGCAAACATCCAAAAATTGATCATCGGTTAATTGAAGGTCAACAAGTATAGATTTTTTGTCAAGCCATGAATATGTGCTTTTCTGTTAATATATAATATTAAGGAAATACTTGAAATTATTTAATATAAAGCTTGGAAGCTCAATTCCCCTAATATTTTTCATAAAGATGAATTAAATTTATTTATTTACCGTAGTGCATTAACTAAAAGATCCAAGGTCTAATATCAAATATCCAACAAAATTACTACAGAATGCCCATGAGTATCTTATTCGGAAATGGGTACATTGTATGGAATTTTTTGTGCGGTCTTATATATAATGCAGGGATCAATATGTGGTAGTTTGAACAATACCATGCAAAATACCTGGGTATTATCCCTGGTAAAAAAGAATACATATGTATATATATATGCCACGTGAAACACCCGGGTATTTTAAATGGAGGGAATTTTAGTCAGTGCACTACGGTATTTATTATTTTGTTTTTTTTTTTATTTTCTATGGAAAAAAAAAAAAAACAAACCTCCAAATCCATATTGACAATGACTTTATCGACGTTATACATTAATAGCTCTGAGCCACCGTAAAGGGCATGGACATATGTTTTGGGATGACGCTCTAGATATATCAGCTTGTATAATCACAGTGATTTGGCATAAAAGATAGAGTCAACGTAAGTTATGTGTTTCTTATGAACGATCTTGGAATACTAGACGAAAGTAATTTCGCATTGTTAAAATGCAATAGGAAACAAGATTACTATATAAATATTAAATGCTGCAATACTTTTAGTGAAATAGATTATACAATAAATTCCATCGTTGCA